AAACGTAAGGTATGTCCCTAAAGATCTTGCCTGTGATACATAACAGCAATAATGTTAATGGAATTTTACACCAATCCTAAAAATGATCTGTTAACAGATAAATACAAAATGACCTCACAGAAACCAATGCTGCTTCATCAATGATGAGAGTCATTGATCGGCTGCAGCCCACAACCCGGGCATGTCCCCTGACTGGGAATCAAACCCCAATCTCCTGGATCCTAGGTGGATGCTCAACCACTGAGCCACGCCCGGCTGGGCTAGATTTTCTTATTTGATTTTTAGAGTGAGAGGAAGGGAGAGGGAAAGAGAGAGAAACATCCATGTGAAAATGAAACATGCCCCCTTACTGGGGCTCGAGCCCGAAACCTGGGTACGTGCCCAATTGGGAATCGAACCAGCAACCTTTTGGTACATGGGATGACGCACAACCAATTGAGCAACACGGGCCAGGGCATCATCGGCAGTTCTTGATTTTCTTTCCTGAGATATGTAACCATATCACCAAATCCTATTCTATTATGGTAAAAGATAACACCCATGAATCAGACTTAATTTTATCATGCTTCCATACAAACTGGCAAAGGGACTCTAAAGTTACATTATTAACCAGAGGTTGTTTCTTTTGACTCTGCTCCCCAGGAGTAACTGGAAGTTCCAACTTTGGATTTGTCAAAAAAAAAAAAAGGGAAGGGGAATCTGTGAGTTTTAAAGGTATGCAAGTTAGCTACAAACATTACTAATGCTTTCAAATATTTTGGATCTTTATAATGGTGCTAAATCTCATGCTCACTAACCATGCTTGCTGTGAAATTTAATAGCACAGTCTTTAGCAAAATAGAAGCTAAAGATTATCTAATATCTGTGTCCTAAATGCTAAACTAACAACAGTACCATCTAAATAATCTCTCCCTTTTCACTCTATTATGTAAAGACTGAACAATTAAGAACAGTTTCCAAGAGTCATGAAAATAATCCCTTTGAAATTAGAAACTCTAACTAGAATTTGAAGCCAATTTCTGAAATAAACAAAGAAAAAGAGGAGCAAAGTACTTCAATCAGTCTATTATCAGGGAACACAAGTGAGTTGTTAATTTTGCTCTCAGTTTTTTATGATAACAACAAACATTTTAACATTGTACTTAAAACTGGGCTAAATACTGAAAGTGCCAAGGGTGGGGGGAAAACTAAGTGAAAATACTCCCTACAAAGATGCAAAATCTTGAAGAAAACCTCACACCACAATTTTTTTTTGAAGTCACATAAACATTAAATCACAAGCCTAATGCTTTTTACCCAGCTCGCCCGAAAGTAAAATACTTCTAATTAAAATCAAACTGTGTATTTTTAAATCATTAAACTAGAACAAACTAGCAATATCAAAATACTTCCATTGCTCTGCCAATATTTATATTATACTAATAAAGACACAAGGATCCTTTTAGCTACTTTAAAAACAAAACATTCTACATCTCAGGGAACAAAGACTTGAGGGTTTAGAGTAAAATGTTCTAAAATAACTTTCATTATTAAGTGCAATTAAATTTTATTAATCAGAAATTTTGGAGAAAAGTGCACAAGACAGTCAACTTAATTATCTTTTGGTATAATCTTTCTTGTTTTAAGCAGAGGTCATATCTGTTATATCTTTGTATCTAGTACTACAATGCCTTACTTGGAAAAATAAAAAATGCTTGTTGAATAAATTGAAAAATATAAATTTATTCCTCTCTTTCAGAAACAAAGTACTGTATATATTAACCAGAAAAATGTGTTCCAATAACATACAGTTTTACTGAAAACTTAATTACCAGAAGTAGAAACAAAAGAATGTGTATTAGAGCATCAGAAAGGGCTAAGATTAATATGAAAATGAAACTTTGAGACATCAGTTTACTACTCAAATTGACATGAAATCAGCAAACAGAAGCATTCAAATTTCATTTCCAAGCCCACTTAGTAAATCTAGTTCCAGTTAGAGTATCTTTAATGTGCAAAAGCTCAGTAAAAGCAAGTACTCACCATGCAAGATACAGATAGGTTTCCCTTAACCTACTGCCCTCTAGACACATCACTCTCTGTTAAACAGGCAGCCATCGCCAGATGCTCTCGCTAAAACTGGTCACAGATGGTCAGTTGTCCAGTTAACAGAACATACTGCCCTCCCAATAGCCAAAAGTAAGAAGGAAAGGAGAGAGCTTTTAACACTTGCCTGCTTAGTGAGTAAAACCTACTTGCTTGCTATAAGCTTGGCTAAGCCCCAACAGTGACTTTCTAGAAAAACACGACTAGGCCCTCGGGCTCTCAAGATTAAAAAGGCATCCTAACAGTGGCACAGTGAACAGCTGTCCGATGCTTGAAATCCACACAACTGCATCCCTGCTAGTCAGCCATTCTGGCTGTGACTAGGCAGCTCCTGGGGCGTGGAACCTAGTGTCCAACAAGAAAGTCCTACAGCTGGGACCGAGTCCTCTGTTACCCTGTGCTGCAATGAGTCCAACCACTCAGTCTAATTCCACAGCCAGGAAATGTGGAGCTATTGTCCTCACCTCTCCTCTCTTGGCCAAAGCCTGGGGGACCAGAGCAAGATGCCAGGACCATGATCCGATGCAAGCTGACCGGCCCTCCACTACCACAACCCTGCTGGCTTTTCAACTGCAAAGTACCTCACAAATGTTAACTGTCCTTTCCAGATTCAAGATCAACAAGAAGCAACTGGCTGGCTTCCTGGTTTAGCTGTTAGACTTAAATATGGAGATGAAGCTGAAAAATACAAGGACTCAGTACCTAATAATACAAAAACTGCTGACAATGCAGCTAAAAAAAGCAGAGCCATTGATCAACTTGCATGTAAATAATCCTAAATTTAAGGCTGGTGTGATGGCTCTGGAGAACCTTCTTCAGAATCAGCGTAGTGATGACTACCTGGTAATGCTTAAGGCAATTTGCATTTTGGTCCAGGAGCCATGACACAGGATGATGCAGTTGATAACGCAAACCAAACAAAAGAGGGATTGCCTGTTGCTTTAGACAAGCATATTCTTGGTTTTGACGCAGGAGATGAAGTTCTTAATGAACTGCTCAAATTCTGCGATTGCTGCATATAGAAGAGCTTAGAGAGCCACAAACAAAAATTAATGAAGCCATAGTAGCTGTTCAGGCAACTGTTGCCGATCCAAAGACAGACCACAGACTGGGGAAAGTTGGAAGGTGAACATTTTAGGATTTCAGCCTCTCACCTACTTAGTACAGTTGGGAAGCATGTACACCCTGCTATGTGTTTCAAAAATCAAATGTTACATTTTCAAGGGAAGAATCCCAGAAAATTGACAACAGTCTATAGATTTACCATCACTGCTTTTTCTTTCAAGTCCAGGAAGTTGGTGGGAAAAGATCAATGGGTCTTCTTTACACATATGCATGCGTAGAAAATTTTATATTTTAAAGAATTGTTTTCACTGCCAACGTTTTAACTGCTTTTTAATTTTTCCACAAAAAACAGACATTATTTTGTTTTTTCTAATCATTCATTTAGAATAAGCTACCTACATCTTCAAGAAGAGTGCTCTATTAAGCTATTTTTGTTATCTTCAACATATTTATATTCCCTTAATAGTGAGTTTGATATATGGGTTTTTTTAAATCAATAGTTGTCCCAAATCCTATTTCTTGCTTGATACTGAGTACAATCTTCCTGAATAAATGATATACCTATGGAAAGGGAGAGCACACTGAGAGGCTATGGCTGGAAATACATGTTGCTGACTTTGGTGACAGTAGGTTAGGCAACATCCTTTCAGTATCAATGGTTCAAGGAAGGTCACCCTGGAGCATATGTAATTTCTCGTCGTTTGTAAAGCTGTGTGACAGAGGTCAATAGTAAAACTTATTTAACCAAAAGCAGATTAAATTAAAATTGGACACAATAAGATTACAAGCAAAATGCCATCTGGAAAATTGTGGCAAAGAGCCAGAAGATGGGGTTCTATGCCCCTGCATCTGAAAATGGATCCCTACCACTGCTTCTTACTGCACAGGGAATCATGTCTAATGCTGCTCTTGTGCTACTGTGAGGCCGGGGAAGGAAATAGGGCAACTCATTGTGGGACCACTGTGCCTCTTCCTTCCTGCACCCCAAAGGGAAGTGAGACAGGGAAAGCCAGCGTACATTGTAAAGCCCAATATGTGTGGAAGACTGTAACAACTCAGAGAGAATTTGTTTAGTAATCATAATTAGAGTTGCTGCTCTGTACTTAAGGGTGAAAATCTCATGAGCAACCAATAGCTAAGTGTGCATGTTATACCGTGAGTACGTATCTGTTTATAACTCATGTATTTACTGCAGACATTCATTTCTTTAATTTCTACTAAACGTGATACGCCATGAAATTCTTTCCTCAGCAAAGATAAGACGAATAGGGAATAAAGCAGTGTCTTTCAGAACTCTGCTGAATGCAATCACAAAGTTAAGTGCTTTTTCTCTGGTGTTCCTGGGTTAGAGCTACATAAAGTAAACATTGATAGTTACATGGGTCATAGGTAAGAGCTTTAATCTGTACATAAAGCATATATATTTTATACATGTAAATACGCCTACATAGCACTCTCGGGCAATTTCTAAGTTAAACTTAATTGTTGTGTATTCTCTGATCTTTTGGTGATATTCCTATTTTACATTCATATTCTACATCCACCACACACCCATAATAATTGGTCAGGATCTCACTCTACCAGAAGTGAACTTTAGAAAGAAAAGCAGGTGCCCAGAGGTGGGGGATAGAAAGATACCACGGTTATCTGACAATGTGTCAGTTCACTAACAATGGTAAGTCAAAGACCAGCCACTGACTTAAGCAGGAGGGCGCACAGTGATGTAGTAAAGTCGGTTCTTTGTTCTTTTTACCATTAAGTCAGTTCTACTGGCTTATATCCAACAACTTTTCTCCCAGCTGGGTCAGAGGGGAAGGAAAAAAGGAAAAGGGTAGTACAAACTCACTCACCTAGCCCACTGAGGGTGTAGAGAAGGTCGCTGGTGGCTAAGAGAATGGGCCCACTCTCCTGCTGCCCTTCCTCTTTGTAGTACAGCTTGTAGCCCTGGATGGCTGCTGTGTCCTCGGCATCCTGCCGCCACTTCACAGAAATGGTGGTACAGTTCACAGGCTCCAAATGTAACTCTGGAGACTTAGGGGCTAGAAAATTTCACCAGAAATGTATGTATAAAAAAAAACACATAATTCACATGAAAACACAGGAAAGGAGAGATCTCAGATCTTAAGCTAACAGTTGCAAAACGTTCAAATCCAACAATGATACTATAACATTCAAAATTTCACAATGATATTAAAGTTTCAGACAGAATTAAATATATAAAATACTACCTAAAAGACTAAGGCATATAAATAAGAACAAAATAATATCTGTATTTGCATGTTTTTTAAAGAGACAATTAAGTACTTTCTCATTTTGACTACCCAATATTTCTCTATGGTAGAACAGGTATTATTATTAATCAATTAACAACAACAACAACGAAACCAGGCATGTTACATCCCACATTAGTAAAAGAGAAAGGTCTAAAATGGGTGGGGAACGTTTGGCCTGCGGGCCATATTGGTCTGGCCCTGCCAAGGTAACCATAGGCAGGACTCGAAATTCAATAAATCTAGAACTTTTTTCATAGTTTTTAAGTTGATAATTTTGTATGGCCCGCGAATGATGCTATAAATATCCAAATGGCCCCTTGGCAGAAAAAAGATTCCCCACCCCTGGAAAATTTCCTAGTCCTATGATCTTCCTGTTAAACTAATATTTCAAAAAATATATGGCAATAATATTAACTAGGTCTCTATTAATATGTATAAAACTTTTGATAATTCAGTTTGTTTGGACTGCTGTATCCATCAAGGATTTGCTAAGCAAACGAATAGTGTGAACAAAAGTTTTACACACTAATGAGTTCTATGCAATAAGGGACTACTCAAATAAAAAGTTTAAATTTTTTTCAATTAACTCCATGATCTATGGGATACTTTTATTCATAAAATAAAATTTAAGAATATAAACATAATTTAGATAAGAAAAAACTGATTCAAAAGTATAAATACAGTGTTCTTCCTCAATCATCTTTAGAAATTTACCTTGTACACTTGTAGCTTTGGGTGTCCTATGTGAAGTCCATACTGATGACTCTCCCAGCCCCACTCTGGTAGCAGCAGTAATCCGCACCAGGTAGACACTATCAGGTTTCAGGCCTTTCAAAAGGTACTCGTGCGTGGTCCCAGGGAGCTCTAGAACTTGGATGGAGTTCTCAGTGCTTAGGCGGAAGGACAGACGATAGAGTACCACTTGGCCCCTCCGATACTTGGCTGGGATCGGCAGCCAGGAGATGAGAATATCAGTGGGACTTCGACTTGTCAAACTGATTTCAGGAGGTCTCAGGGGAACTAGTCATGTAAGAAAACAGGTTGCTGATAAATATTTAGAATCAAAATTGTCAATCAGAGCACCAGTAATAAATGACTATCTTAACAGCAGCACATAATATAATAAAGAGGAGATGCCTTCAGCCCTAACAGAGGTTTTCAAGAGTACAAATCAGAAAAAGAAAAAATGAGAAAGGATCAAGCATAGGGAACCGAACAAGCAAAGTTGTCATTGTTGTTTGGGATGAATATGACATTACTTAATACTCATACAAAATTCGAGGATACTTTTCAATCCCATCAAAATGCCTTAGGGACAAAGGAGAGAGAATTATACAAGAGTGGGGAAGCCCAGGACACCAGGGTTTTAACCTGGCAAATAATATTTTGACATGTCAGAGGGATGTCTTAAAAAGCAGTGTGAGTTTTGTACTCCCAATGACATACATGGTGCTTAGGACGAAAACAGTGTTTTTCCTCTAAGTAATCTGAATACAACCGGCACCCCAGGGAAATGAGTCGAGCGTAGTGGGAGGCAGTCCAGTGCCGAGTTAAGACAGGTTCTAGAGTTAGCCTGCGTGCTTGAATCCTTGCTCTACCACTTACTATTCTGCGAGATCTTGGCCAATTAACTTCTCTGTGTCTGTGTTTCTTCAGGCATAAATGAGGATAATATTAATAGCTCATTCTACAGTCTTTCCTATCTCAGTTAACGGCAACCATTTGTCTAACTCAGGCCAAAAATCTTGGTGTCATCCTTGACTCCTCCAAACACACTCCGCATTCAATCCTGTGGCTCTGCAATTTCCCCTGCCACCCCCTGGTCCCTGTCCCCATCACCATTAGCCTGTATTGTTGCCATAGCCTCCTAACAGATTTCCCTGCTTCTGCCTTTGTCCCTACTATCTATTCTCAGCACATTAGCTGTTAAAATGCAAGTTAGATGCTGTCACTCTTCTGCTCAAAATAGCTCCCGTTTCACTCAAAGTAAAAGACAAAGACCTCTTCTGTGGCATATCTGCTTACATGGTCGGCTCCCATTAGTTCTCTGCCTCCTCTCCCACTGCTTTCCACTGGTTCCAGCCCCTCCCGACACACTGTGCTTCTGGCCCTCAGCAATTTCCATCTCCTCTGCCTAGAATGCACTTCCCAGTCATCTGCCTGCCCAGCTCCCTCATTTTCACTTCCTTCAGGTCTTCATTCAAATGTCATCTACTACTCAGTGAGCCCTTCTTTGGTGACTGACTAAAGTCTCACACCCTCCCAACATTTTATTCTTCCTTTCCTTGCTCTTTTCCCTTCTGCTCAACACTTACCACTATCTTACATGACTATCATGTTTATTGTTCCTCTACTCCCTATCCCACTAGGGAGTAAACTTCTTGAATTCAAGGACAGGTTTTTGTTTCCTGTTCAGTACTAAATAGTAAATAACACATAGCAGGTACTCAATAAACATTTGTATAATGAATGACAAATTAATAGATAGAAACGGGAAAATCCATTTACTAAGCATTTCTGAGTCCCTTATGTGTATGAACTCAAAAATTTGCACAAGAACTCAATGAAAGAAGTAACTACCATTTCTACTCTACAGCTGAGGAAACTGTGGGACAAAGAGGTCAATCACTTGCCCAAGGTCACACAGATTGTGGGTGAAGGAGCACATCCACACAGACCAGACAGAGCCCACATTCTTACCCCTATACTCTCCAATCTCTAGGAACAATAGTTCTATCACAGACTTGTGTAGGGACTAAATAAGACAGTGGAGGAAAGGTTTATAGAATAGGCAGGGATAAGCACTTCCCAAGTGTTAGCTGTATTGGCTGTGCTCTGCTGTGCACTCCAGGAGACACACACACCTCAGAGAAGTATGTTTCGAAAATGGGGAGACATGTATAAATCTGAAAAGTAGTGTCAGAGTCTGTACGCTGTCCAGACATCAAAATCAAACATTAAATTAAAAAGTTGCAGAATAAGGAAAGGTTTAAAGGACAAAAACTTTGAGATCATAACATAACTGGAATTGGCAAGCTTTCACAAGTTGCTGGCTACGCTTAGACTCATTTTCTTCAAGGATATGGGGGTATACCTTACACATCCCTCCAAAATCCCCAAAAGCAAAATCAAATAAAAAACAGAACCTGTGTTTCCCCTTAGACATGTGTGTTAGAGGTTGTTAGACATAATGAGAAAACTGGAAAGGTCATACGTACTGCGGTTCACTCCAAAATTAAACAAACTCTTAAATGAAAGCCCAAATTTGGAATTCAGTATACAGATCAGTGAAAACTTTTTCATTTAGTCAACCTCTGAACATATAAACATCTAAACAAGTGGCACTATAAAGATATAAGTAAGAGATCTGGGACCAAATGAACAACAACAAAAAGATTCTGGAATCATTTCTATAAATACATTTTGAAACTAAGGAAGGGTAGGTGACTTCTTCAGGATAAGAAACATGTATAAAAGGAGAGGAGTATAATTAAGCATATTTTAAATGATTTCCTTGTCACACTGCAGGGCCATAAACAGGGGCTTTCTAGAGCCTCTGGAGAAAGGGATGAAGTCAGAGGAAGAGACTCAGTTCTCCAATACTGTCATAATAAAAGGAATGTCCCTCCACTGTAAGAATATATGACGGCCTGCCAGAGCTCAGTTTCCACCTCATGGTCAAGTAACAAACTGCACAAGTATTATTTTCCTCCTTAAGTAGAATAACCATATTGTATCGAAAAATAAACTATCTGATTTTATAAGAATTTTTTTAAAAATATATCTTTATTGATTTCTGAGAGAGTAAAGGAGAGGGAGAGAGAGAGATAGAAACATCAATGATGAGAGAGTCATTGATCGGCTGCCTCCTGCACGCCCCTGACCAGGGATCGAGCCCACAACCCGGGCATGTGCCCTGACCAGGAATCGAACCCCGATCGCCTGGATCCTAGGTCAACGCTCAACTGCTAAACCATGCCTGGCCGGGCTATAAGAATTTTTTTTAACTGAAAGGTACTAAGTTTCATAAACTCCCAGTTTCAGAAGTCTAATACCTCTACCTCCAGTCATTACACAGACTCAATATGTAACTGTTCTTATATTTATTCATGCCTAGAGAATATACTCAGTAAAAAATAAATAAGTCAAAATTTTAATAAAAACTGCAATATATTTATAATTTAAACTAGGAACTTGAAATACAATGAGAATAGTAGAATTTTATTATTAGAGGTTGTATTATGAATTACAAATAAAAGTTCGCTTTATTCTTACGTTACTAACAAAAAGTAAAGTCATATTTGACATAGCAAATTAGCCTGCTGGTAGCCACAATTGTTTTTGGGTTTTTTTTAACCAGAAAAAAGATATATTCTTTTTCTTTTTTAAAAAATTGATCTTAGGGAAAGGGAGGGGGAGAGAGAGCACATGAAAAACATCAATTGGTTGCCTCCTGTACACGCCCCGACTGGGAATCGAACTCCCAACCTTTCAGTGTACAGGACAACATTCCAACCAACTGAGCCACCCGCCAGGACAATATTTTTTCTATTTTAAAACACGCTTACTTATTGAAATTGATTAAACATATTAATGTTCATACTTAAATGACCTAGAATCATGTTTTCTTACCGTCCTCTAAAGTATTCTGTGTCACATGGTCAGACATCTGGCTGGCTCCCATCGGCATGTACGCCACAATGTAGAAAGTATAATTGCTGGCAGGTTCTAAGTCATCAATGATATAATGAGTCGTGTCGTTTCCAATAACTACTTGATACTCTTCATTATTTAAACCTACATTAAAGAATCAGTGTTTAAAAATTAAGAATATTCAAAATAAAACTAATAAGACCATTTCCCCTCACTGTAAAACACTGGTCCTTGAGTCTAATCTTTCAGTTACATTTTGTGACCCTTTAAAAAATGTGAATGGGAAGGACTGTATTTTTTTAAAAGTAACTGTTTGTCCTGCTACAAATTACTAGTTTGCATTTTTCCTGAACAAATCAAACCGAAAATAATTACTCTTCTCTAAACTCCATTAAGATCTAGTTAAAACTCAGAGCAGAGACAACGTGAGGCAGTAACACACATTGCTTAACATTATGGAACGCTGTAATTCATAAGTGTAAATTTTACTTGCTTAAACTCATGGCTTCTTTTTTCTTTTACACGTAAATGGAGAGACAATGGGGAATGTAATGGCTCTACTCTTTATAAAAACAAACCAAACCAAAAGTTGTCCTGCAAAAGATCTCATTTTGCCCCGAGAGATTCTATTAGATTTGACTGACACAAGTTGTTCTTTTATTTATATTGAAAGCAAAAGAACTGGGAAGCCCAGAATGTGCTTCAGAACATTTTGTTTCACAATGAGCTTTATTTTTGAGAGGAAAAAAAATGCTCAGCAATTCTTAATAAAATATGCATGGCGAGGTAGAGAAGAGGATTTGTCTTTGTGGGATTTAATTCCTACAGAGCAACCCTGTAAAGTGGAACAAGAGCGCCGGTCGCTACTGTGCTTTGTGAACAATTCACAGTAAATGGATGTCAACTTAATCAAAACTCTCTAAGGACGGGGCCCCTTCTTTCCACACTGGATTTATAAACAAAACAGAAGGCAAATTCCACTGTTAAGTTTTCCCACATTTCTGAATGAACTTGATAGCATTTTAATTAGACAAGATTACAGGCATTTCACAACAGACTGGCTAATGTCTCGTTAATTAGGCGCTGCATAGTACGATTTCTGACCTACCAAACAAGGTCCTTGAGTTCGAATTAAAAAGCCTTGTTCCATCCCTGAATAGCCCACTGAGCTGCATGTGGAGGCTCTAATGAAAGAACCATAATAGCAAACAAGAGTGGTCTCCACCAAAACCAGCATTCTTTTACCTTCCTAAATCACTGAAAAGGGAATTAACATACTCCAACATGCTCAGCTATCAGACTTTCATTCTTCTTGCTACCATGACCCCTGATTTAAATTCAAAATATTCCTCTTCAAAATACTACTTCAAAGTACAAAAAACAAACAACAACAAACCACCTGTTTCTACAGACAATTTTGTTATAACACCATTCTTTGGGTGTTTGGATTTGTTTTTAATGTCTATTACATAAAAGTTAGGCTGGTTGTGTATAAAACTAAAATCTGTAAACTTCTACTATGGTTTCTATGAAAAATCAACAGAGAAATCTCTAGGATTTATAAGTAGTTTTTCCTCTAAATTTTTTGCCAAAGAAATAATAAGAATAAAAATGGAACTAGTAGTCGTAAATAAAAATTTGAAGATAGCTCTGCTTTCTACTTTTATATCATAAATGTCAATAATGTCTTATTCAAATTTCAGAGAGTTCTATATAATTTCAGAAAACACTCATATAAAATCAAATATATCGGGAATTTGATAATGTTTATTTTCCCCTTAAAAATAAAATTTCATAGTGACTATACTTGACGACATTATTTTATTAAGCAGTCACACCACTGGTCCTATGTAACTGCATACTTATATTGGCATATTTTGTCTCAGTTAAAGAATTTACCTTTGCTGAAATGAAATCCATAAATACACCACTCTGTATATTTTAGCTGGCAGAGCTACTTACTTCTAAATAAAAAAACCTTAAACTATACTTATATACACAAAGTATATACAACAATACAAAATTTAGGGGAAAAAATAGATTATACATGTGACAGATTGTTTTATTAAAAGAGATAAATGCCATAGAACTTCAAAAATATTATGTGGATTATGTAAAACATCCTTCAGACTGAAAACAAATCCATGATAGCAAGTGGAACTTAAAAATAAACACTTCCCTAATTGCTTACCTTCCGCCTTCATGTAGTGCACGGAATAAGCGATGACTTTGTCTGAATTATAAAGTGGCCTTTCCCAGGCTAAAAGGATGGCTGAACTTGACATGGTTTCAGCATGCACATTATAAGGAGCGCTGGGTCGGTCTTCTGACATTACTACGGTTAGCCTGGCTCTAGATAAAATAGAGCCTTGGCTGTTCTCGGCCATGCACTGATAAATAGCATCATCTTCAGGAATAATCTGGTTAATTACCAATTTACTGAAGAAAGGAAAAATATTTATTTCTATGAAAAACTCTAAGAATGTAAAAATAAAGTTAAACTATTGCTAAGTGTACTACCATTTTAAATGACAAAAAGTACTAAGAACAAAAAAAGTTATACTCAACCATACTGAAAAATCTATATGAATTATTTTAAATTACTCTTATTTTCTGAGTCTACGCAAGCACTAGTGATATCCAAATCCTGTTTGCTTTAGATGACAGCTTAAAAAGTTGGCTTCCCTTAAGAGAGTATATTACTTTGTAATAGCATCTAATTTATATAATATTGCAATGTTACATAAAATTGAGGTCAACAAAAATTTTTAAAGTTTTGTGCAACATAAGTGAGAATGTTACAAGAAGATTAATATTTATATTAATAAAAGTGAGTTTTTATAATGATTACGTTTGAATTCTTAGAGAATCAATTATTTCTTTCTAATTTCTTAATCATGGAAAAAGAAAGTGAGACCCCCTAAGAGTTAATATGCTTGCTAATAATTTAGCTACTTGCTTATCAGCACTATAATCCAGGTCTGGGGAACTGCCCAACATTCATTTCAGTACAGTTAACCACTTCCATGATCCACATATAAAAGGATCTATGGCATGATGAAATTATAATCTTAGGTTAATTTCTTATTTCATTTTAGTTTTAAATGCCAAGATAGCTAAAATAATTGATATTATAATTATAGCCATTTCACATAAAAATTACTAAAGCCATCATATCTTATCTAGTAGCAAAGTGACATAACTTACCTGTTGTACATTTTAATTCTACCATTTGAATGTATCTTTCTTCCGTTTTTCAGCCATGACATTTTGGGTGAGGGGATTCCTTCTGCCTGACATACAAATCGAGCAGTGCCAGCTCGAGGCCTCGTTAAACTTTCTGGCCATTCGACAAATAAAGGAGGAGCTATTTTTAAAGAAAAGAAAAATATTTCTGTTGTTCCAACAGGAATGATNAAAAAATATTTCTGTTGTTCCAACAGGAATGATACAGAGTCAAGGAAGAGTACAGCAAATGACAAAGTCCCACCCCTGAAAATATTAGACATTTTGAGCCTCCAATCTACACTCTACATGTATCTATCCAGATGCCTTTTCCATACATTGCTCAGGTAGATGTGCACTTCCCCCAAGCTTTCCCTATGGAGACCATCTATATAAACACTCTAAAAATATGTGTACTATAATCCTACTTAACTAAACCCAATACATAGCCCCTTATAAATGCATATACACAATCATCAGATTAAAATTTTAGATTGGTGAATGGGTCCGGATTTGTGGGTGGGTGAGGAGGAGAGAAGAGGGAAGCTGAAGTAAGAAGGAATATAATAGTATGCAGGCAGCCAGAATGGTGACTTCTGACTAATAGTTATATTTTAACACAGGACTTTAATTTTCTCCTAAGACTGATCATAAGATTAAGAAACTCCTTATCAACCTTCATATCAATAATACGAAATTCAAGAAAGGTGGAAATAAGCTAAGAGATAAAACAGCAAATGTGAAAATGCAAGATTATCTTGAATGCAGAAGAAAACATACCTAGTACAGTTAAAGTTGCCATGGCAACTGTAAAGTTTCGTGTGCCTGGGATAGTGGCCCGACAAACATATACTCCCGCATGTTGCAGCTTGACGTCAGATATCATGAGATTACCATTTCCAAGTACCCGAGTATTATAGACATCAATGGACTTGTGATCTATTTCAGAGAGAATACTTCAGTTAAAACAACGAAATTGTTTCTAAAAGTGGTTCAAAAGATCAGTCTCCAAACAATCCTATCAGAAAAAGTATAAAATTCTCAACACTAAAACCATTTCTCTACACACTAAAATGCCAAACGTGTTTTGTATATACAATAAACATTTTATCTGTTTCACTATAATGAACAAAGTTTAAGGCAAAGACTTTTTTCCCTCTGAGACGACATACCAAGACGGCTCCAAGAAATGATTGGTTTGGGATTTCCTGTGGCCATGCACTCCAAAACAACAGTCTGATGAAGGGATGTTGTTATGTTCTGTGGACCTGCTATAATGGTTGGTGTGTGGAAGGATTTAGACTCCTTAGCTTTGGAGAGGAAAAGGCAGAATACAAAAATAAATTATAAGTAAACTATAAGTGAAATGAGTGAAAAGATCCATTGTTAAGTTATTCACTTTTTTCTTCTTTTAAAACAACTTAATTGAGATATCACTCACATAACATACAATTCACCCATTTGAAGTACAATTCAATGAGTTGTGCAACCATCACCACAATCAATTTTAGAACATTTTCATCACCCCAAAAAGAAACCCCATACCCATTAGCAGTCACTTCCCAATCTCTCCCCATAGCTTGGCAACCACTAAGCTACTGTCTGTCTCTCTCCATTTACCAATTCTAGACATTTCAGAAAAAAGGAACAGTACGTTACGTGACTGGCTTCTTTAAACAGCATAATGTTTTCAATATCCATCCACGTTGTGGCACGTGCCAGTACCTCATTTCTTTTTATTGAATAACAACAGAGTATTTAATTATATAAACAGGACACATTTCATTTATCCATTCATCAGCTGATGGACATGTGGGTTGTTTCCATATTATTTATTTTTAATTGAGGTTCAAACATTCATTTAATACTTTCAATAATCTTTTTAAGAATTCATGTGACAGTGGGGAGAAGGGAAGGAGTATGAGAGTGCTTTTGTTTCTATCTTTCATACCAGGAAGCTAACAGATATTACCTCAAATTAAAACAAAGCATTAGCCCAGCCGGGGGTGGCTCAGCGGTTGAGCATCAACCTAGGATCCAGGAGATCGGGTTTCAATTCCCGGTCAGGGCACATGCCGGGGTTGCGGGCTAGGCAGCCGATCAATGACCCTCTTATCATTGATGTTTCTATCTCTCTCTCCCCCCCCCCCCTTTCCTCTCTCTGAAGTCAATATTCCCTTCCTATTCACATATGGCAAAATAAAAAGTTATGTTCGCTTAACGTTAACTTAATAACTGATGTTCGCTTAATGTTCACTTAATAATTTCTGGGTATGGAACTGGGGATATTTTAAAACTATATTACATCTTTGTACTTTTTTTTAAATCCTCACCTGAGGATATTTTTTTTCCATTGCTTTTTTCAGAGAGTGGAAGGGAGAGAGAGAGAAACATTGATGTGAGAAACATCAATTGACTGCCCCCTAACAGGGTTTGAACCTGCAACCTAGATATGTGTCCTGATCAGGTATCGAACCCATGACCCTTCTGGTGCATGGGATGGTGCTCCAATCAAATGAGCCACTTGGCCAGGGCATATCTTTCTACCTTTTTACTTTTATAAACATTACTCGTTATAATGAGCATGCATTATTTTCACAAATGCAAATTATGGTTTTTCTTAAAACAACAAACAAAAAAACACCAAACTGGAAATGAATATATCTTTACAGACAATGGACAATTCTGGTGGAAATGGATGATTGTTATTTTCTCTTTTTTGTATTTTATATATTTTTAAAAGTGAAATATTTACCAAAAAAAAAAATTTAATCTTTCTTAAAGATGATGACACTATTATAGCCTGAGAATAAAAATTAATAGCTGTGCCAATAAAAACTAAAAAATAACTTCTATGAGGTACCTGGAATCACTGTTAGAGAGGCCTCCACACTTTTACGTCTGTGGGCTACAGTAGCAGCAACACAACGGTAATTTCCAGCATCTCTCTGGCCAACATCATAGATCTGTAACACTCCTGTTGGTAGGACAGTTATCCTGCTAAGAAAAGAAAGATGACTGAACTCTTTGTAGTAGATTATTTTTATTTTAACATATATTCTATAAGATTTAATATATTCAACCTTTTTAAAGTGCCAAATGCAATACTTTAAAATTTTTTTTTAAAATATTAGCTTGATTCAGCTGTTTTCATTTGGATCACTACAGCTCTCTAAAACATAAGTAACTATGCAGTGTGTGGTTTGTGAAATCCATCAGTCTAATTTTATAGTGTCTCATTTGACATTATAGCTTAGATGTAGCTAACTGGTGGCCTAGAGCTTTGTGTCATTTTTTCAGATTTCTGACTTCTTGTCTATTAATTTCGATGTATTCTCCAAGGTACACCTAAATGTAAATTTAAAAAAAAAAGCACTTCCTTGAATAACTTCTTCCATCTAAGTCCCCTACCATTTTAGGAAATGATTTTTGCCTGTTTAGGGATACTGCTGCTACTCATTAGGACACGAATCTAACTTTTAAAAATTGCTACAAAGTTCTTGATCCTTAAACTCCGACCACCTTCAGAGTCTTAGGTGTGTGTGCGCATGTGTGCATGGATAGTGGAGAGGAACTGGGAAGTGGAAAGCAGAGACAAAAGTGAGCAGCTACCAGGGCACACATGGGAGACCCTTTCATCAGTACTGCTACTTCAGTAAAGGTATAATTTGATTTTCCAAGACCTTGGGCTGCAATCCATGTTCTCAGATGGTTCTATGACTGGAAAAGATATTTGAGGAAAGAACAAAACAGTAAGATAGGCTCTTTGAATTTTGATTTGAACCCCCAAAACAGGAATTATGCCCCATGTGCCAGAGACTAATAGTAATCTAATACTTTGCTTAATTTTGAAGTGTCTTTAAGAATTTGATTATTAACACTTTCAATGAAAATGAGTTCCATAACAACCTTTCCCCCAGAGAGTCTCATGATAAAGTCTTCGTTACTGCATTTACCTGTCCATAGTTACGGGTAGAGTTGTTCGATTTAATTCCCATGTTATAACTGCAGGAGGGTTTGATGAAATCTTGCATGCAAATCTAGCAATTCCACCTTCTTGGACCTCAGTAGAAATTGGCTGAACTTCAAATGCAGAAATAGCTGTAAGACAAAGTTTGACAAATTCAGAATAAGTGCATGAACTATTATACTATACTTGGAAATAACATTATGCTAGATATTATTTATCAGACTTGAACTCTTGCTCAGATGTTAAGACCATTCCAACATAACTAACACAAAAATAATGTAGGGAATACTTATGAAAAAAACCACTGAGCAGCTACCCAAATCAAGGAGTCTGGTCTTTCCTAAGATGAAACTCTAACCAAGTTCTTAAGAAACTTACGACCTGTTTGGAGAAAAAAAAAAAATGACATAACTGGAACAAAAATAAACAATTAATAGTGGTATTTAATTATATACTAAACTGTGTGGTGCAAACTTCAGATACTACTGTATTTCAGAGGAGAAGGGAATCAATGCAGACAGATTAGACAGGAAAAAACCATTTACAGAGACTGGTTTTAAATTGAGTTTCAAATAATCTGGGTTTAGATGAAAGGGGGAAAATAGGAATAAGATGAAGGCAATAAGAAAAGTGGAAGGAGAGCAGAGATAAAGCAGATTTGCAGCACAGTACAAATTAGACATCACGTAGATTTTTGAGCAAAGAAGGGTCAGGATAACAGTATTTGGAAAAATTAATCAGGCACTGTTACACAGGATGGACTGAGAAACAAAGAGCCTGGAATCAAGACCAACAGGCTGTTTAAAGAGGAATGACAGACCTGGGCCGTGGCAGTGAGAAGGGCAAGATTCTACAGACACCTTAATGAAAACAAGGACTTGGCTCTTTTGAACACAGATATGTCACTCTGGTTTGGAATCAAACGAGGTTGGTATTTGATGTTGAAAAATAAAAAAGACAGAGAAGACAAATGGTGTGCTGATGAACAAAAGGTAGAGAGATGCAAGAGACTATTTTGAAACTCATGTCTTTCTCCAAACCAAAGCTAAATCCTGAAGTGTTGATACTTTCCAGAGATAACACTTTACCATTCTAGGAGGGCCTCCAGGAACTGGTCGTCAGAGTCCATGGTTTTAACATTTTGACAGAGTCCAGACTCCAGGTAACACTGTGGTTTTCATTCTCTCTACTAAGTCTTCCAGGACATAAAGAAAGGGCCCCAATGATGGTCTTACTCCCCCTTCCTCAGATTCCAGTTCAAAAAAAAAATATAGGACTTTATGGTTTATAAATAGAGTGAGAAGTTATAAAGAAAAATAGACTATGGTCTAGATGACTTATGCTTCCTTGGACTGGAAAAAGTAAAAGGTCACAGAAGACTAACATTCTGCCTTGGACTTGACTTCATTAGTCTGTCTGTAAGTGGATCACAGACCTTTAGAGGAATAAGACAAAGCCAGTGAATAATGGTGAAAACACTCTTTTTCCTTTTTTTTTTCTTTTTAAAAAAAGTATCTTTATTGATCTCAGAGAGGAAAAGAGAGGGAGAGATAGAAACATCAATGAGGAGAGAGTCATTGATTGGCTGCCTCCTCCAAGCCCTGCACTGGGCATCGAGCCCACAACCTGGGCATGTGCCCTGACCAGAAATTGAACCGTGATCTCCTGGATCCTAGGTCAATATTCAACCACTGAGCCACGTCCAGCAAGGCCGGGGAAAATATTCTTAAAAGCATTTACTTCCAAAAAGGATGCAGTGGGGGCAAAGTAACACTTTTTTTATGCATTTAACAAAATATTTCTGCTTCCTCAAGAACAGTGGTTCCACAAGAGAAAAACCATTCTCATAATCACCTTCATGTGCCTGTTTCATTCTCATTTCTCTTGTGTGCACCGTGTTTTCCAGAAACTACATGATGAGTGATATCACAACAGATTCAATGCAGAAGCAGGTATGTGTGAGAACCCAGCTGTCTTCTAGGAAGCTAATTAAAGAGATTTGCACAAATGCAAAACAATGTCACTCCTTCTCACTAAAATTTTTTTGCTTTGGAAAACAGTTGTGTTTCCTTAAATGTGTTATGTTAATATGCAGTGAATCAATGTTTTCAGTTTTAAATTAATCAATATTTTTAAATTTTCTATTTTAATTTCAAGTAATAAGTATAAATAGATAAAACCTACACACACAAAAAACTTTTTGGGGTCCTCAATAAGCTTTAAGAGTATAAAGAGACTAAAATGTTTGAAAAACCCCTATTCAAGAACATCAAACTCTAAAAGTCATTACAATTTTCCTTATTGCTTCTGTAATTTTCTAGGATGTTAATCTATTTACAAACATTTTTATTCTGGATCAAACCAATGCCCTATCTACTGAAGAATTAGAGAATAGATGATTATATTTATCTTCCAAATATCAGGTTCGCATTCGTAATAGCCTGATTTCTCAATAACAATGCAAGATTATTTTTCTATCATTAAACTATGTCAGACATTCATATTTTGGGGGAATGAGGACCTAAGTTTCCATAAATTTAATTCCTGCTTTCTGAAGTAGTAATTTCTCTTACTGGTACCGTATTACCTTTGCATGTGTAAGAGGGTGACTTATAGTTCGGCCATCATTGGTGATCTAGTCTACATGCAGCTTACAGGCTTCAAGGTGGGAATTTTATCTTACTCCTCCCCAGCCTCGACCTCTCTATACTGAAATGCCTAGTCTAGTTCACCTTCTCTTCATAAAGCAGTTTTTCCAGCCCTATTTGAACAATTTCTTCCTCGATTACCCAACAATGAATCAAGCACCCAATTCAGTATGTTTTATCCTATATACTGCATATTTCTCCCATTATCTGACTTCTCTCCATCCCTAATAGTCTTCTCTTTGAGTCAGGCCCCTATCATCTACTGCCTGGAAGTCTTGCAAGAACCTCTTAGGTGAAATCTTTCCTGCCATCAGAGGAACCTCCAGAGTGATAAGTCAAAAAATGCAAATCTGATTTGTGTTCATGATTAATTAATTAGTCCCTGCACAACTCTCACTTGTTTTCAACCACTTACAGTTAATAATGTTCCATGAACATGGAATATACCGTATTTCATACCTGTGAGTGTTGTATGAGCACTTCCTTCTCTCAAATATCCCAGTCCCTTTGTCCACCTGATGAAATTCTATAGTTCACTTGTCCCATACTTTGAGAAGCTGTTCCTGACTCTTGCAGACTTTTACTGCTACCACTATCCCACAGTATTATAACCACTTGTTCACGATCTTTCTCCCCTTCCACACTATGAGCTCCCTGAGGGCCAGGAGCGGGTCAAATTCTTTGCAGGATCCTTTAAGACCGTGAAATGGCACAGACTCAGCACTAAAACAGTACCTGTTGAATTGAAATGAAATTTTAAAAAATCTTTCCAATTCTATTAGGTCTTTAAACACAGTAGCAACACATGTAGGCAGTTTTCCAGGAATAAATACCAAGGCTTAGGAAAATAATGCTTTTGTTTGTTTGTTTATTATAATTATAAATGATGCCCAATATTTTAGTGGCATTATTTTTAGAGATAAAAATCTTTCCGTCCTCTATGTTAAAGGATTTTTATAAAGGTTCAATAAGCCAATATAGCGAGGGCTCTTTATACATTATAAGACTTTTTATAAATATTGTGATTACTGAGACTAAAAATAATGACTGTTGCCTTGAGTAATTTCCCTCCAACCACTTAGGCATTTGAGTGTTGTTTTTTACCCTGAATCTCATCTAACCAAACAATATGAAACCCCTGAACCTTTCTTTGAGCAGCTCCTCCTTTTCCCCCAAATGTGTAAATCTATGAAAACCCTAAGACTTTTTTATTATAAAAATTGCTTTGCACTTTAGGTCAAATGCACTAGAACTTTGGAGTTACAAAATTCTGAGAATTAAAAGGCTTTTTTGAGACATAAATCACATAGCATTTACCTACCATACAATTCATTCATTTAAAGTATATGCTTCAATGGTTTTTAGTATATTCACAGAGTTTGCAATCATCCCCATAATCAATTTTAGAATATTTTTATCACTCCAAAAAGAAATCCCATATCCTTCAGTTATCACTCCATAATCGTCCCATCTCTTCCTGGACCCAAGCCCTAGGCAATCACTAATCTAGTTTCTTTCCTCCTCCCAGCTTTACTGGGATATAACTGACATATAGCATTGTGTACAATGTGATGATCTGATACACATGTTGGAAAATGATTAACACGTAAGGTTAGTTAACACATCCATTAAGTAAGGGTGTTTCTTGATCTCACTCTAGTTTTCAGCAAGGTCTCAATCAAGCATAAAGATATATTTTTTAATCCCTCAAAAACCTTTGTATTTAACATGTCTAATTTCTTGGTCCCTTTCAAAAATTCAAACCAATGGGAAAATAATTTTTCCCCAAGAAGACCAAGCCAGATACTCCTTGGGACTCCCATCAGTACCTCTGAGACTAAAGAAAAAGCATTCATCATTCAACAATGAAAAGAAGTCACCACCTTTCTGTTTATACTTCTTCCATCTGGGCACCAATGCATTCCTCTTCCCTCACCTCTGTGAACCAGATACTCAAACTCCTCCTAGTTCCTTCCCTCAGTCTATAAAAGTGGGTAAGTCTCTTCCAACCTCCAAACACAAAAAAAACAAAATTCCAGACCTCTCACCCGGCTGGGCGTGGCTCAGTGGTTGAGCATCGACCTACGATCCAGGAGATCGAGGTTCAATTCCCTGCCAGGGCACATGCCCAGGTTGCGGGCTCAATCCCCAAAAGCCGGCGTGCAGGAGACAGCGGATCAATGATGGCTCTCTCATCATTGATGGTTCTGTCTCTCTCTCCTCCCTTCCTCTCTCTGAAATCAATGAAGATATATTTTTTTAAAAACAACAACAAAAACTCCAGACCTCCCTTTATGGCATGTGTCCCTCTAGCAGCTATTCACTCTCTCTCTCTTCTCCCGGGGATCAAAACTTTTCTTCTAAAGAATAGTTTATTCTAGTACTTCCCTTCCTCATCTTGACTCTACGCCTCAAACACCTAATCTGCCTTCTTCCCCTATTATTTTACTGAAACAGCGTCTATGACGCTAAGCACTCCTTGT